GATCAACCTTTTATAGTGTATGTGTCATCATTAATAATATAAAATATCAAATACTAGAAAAAATACGATATATAATTTGTAATTTGACTGCAAAATAAAAGTGGTACAGCTTCTCCCATAATATATATTAAAAGGTAAGAATGGGGACCAAATTTTAAAGTTGTTTTCTATTTATAGAATATAAGAGGTATTGGTGATATTATTAAACAATGAATCAAACAGATTAAGGTTAAATATTTATAAATTACATTTCAAATTATGGTACTGTACTGTCTGCTTTTGTTTACACTAAAAATGACTTTCTATCACATTTAACCTACAAATTTGTTTATCAGGTCGAGTGGTTAAAATGTATAACCATCATTCCTCATCTTTTACCAAGATGGCTATGTCACTAATCACCATTTTCTTTTATTCACGTGACTACTTGCTCCGTAGAAAAGTGTGTATTTCAGTGCCGGTTCTTTTGTCGACATAAGCAGCTGATCTTCGTCAAGGAAACACGTCATATATGTTCCATTTGAAAATATTAGGCAAAGGTATGTTACCCCCCAAAAATTTGCAGCTCATTACTTTCATTCCAGATGTCTCTCAAGTATAATATTGTTGTTGATGTGGCCTCAATCCACTACTCCACAGAATCATCTGTAGAAAAGGATTCTTAAAGTACAGAAGATGAAATATTAGTAGGTCAACCTCATTAACGAGAGGGTTGAACATTTTGATGATTATATTCTTTTATTACCATTGAAATGATGCTACAGTATTATTTATTATTAGTACAGGTTGTACCTCTCTAGTCCGGCAACCTCGGGACCTGACCGGTGCCGGACCATGGAAATTGCCGGACCATGGAAATTCACCCTTTTCCTGGATAGATAGTGACTTGTGCTTATGCCTGGAAGCACTAGCACCACTTTCTCTGCGTCATGGTCTCTTTGAAGACATATTGAAGGGTTAAATGTCGTATAGTAGCTTCTCAAATTTCGCGAGTTTTTAATTCTTAACGTATTTTATTGGAACACACAAAAAAATAAATAAATAAAAATTTTGACGGCGGAAACTTGAATTTCGACGGGTTTGAACGGCCCGCCAACGTGCAGACGACGTGCATAATCGTGTAAACAGCGTCATTTCTCTTATGTACAAAAGATTCATTATTGTTTATTACTGAATGTCTTTTTTATTGAATTAATGTTTATGTGTGCAAAATGAGCAATACAATTCATTAATAATACATAGAAATTAAAACACATGAGGAAATGACACAGCATTGTTTTCGTTGATTACAAAACCAGTGACTGACTGGTTCTACATATAAAACTGAAGAAAATAAGACCTTGGTTGTAGCTGTAGTAAAATTAATATGGTTGTTTTAAGTAATGTTATTTAATGTTAATAAATGGAACAATAGAAGTAGCTAACGATAATGGTAAAGAAAAAGAGAGATCGCATATGTAAGTGCGCATGCACACACGTGAAAACATATCGTCATTACTTTACATAAGAATATGAAAGCAACACTTATTTACTGTTCATATATATTTTAATTAATGTTTCTGAATTTGTTTTTATTGAATTAATGTACGTGTGTGCAAAATTAACAATACAATTTATTAATAATACGTGGAATATTAGAGGAGACGAGACGGCTGCCGGCATTGTTTATGTTAAAGCTTACGAAACCAGTGACTGATTGGTTCTACATATAAAACTGAAGAAAATAAGACCCTGAGTTTAGCTGTAGTAAAATTAATGTAAAAAATGAATATGGTTGTTTGAAGTACCTGTAATGTTATTTAATGTTAATAAATGGAACAATATAAGTAGCTAACCATTAATGGTAAAAAAAAAAGTGAGACTGCTCGTATGTAAGTGCGCACATGTGAAAATATATCGTCATTACTCTACATAAGAATATGAAAGCAACACTTATTTACTGCTCATATATATTGAAGGGTTAAATGTTGTACTCTGTATAGACAAGCAGAGAGAGAGAGAGAGAGAGAGCAGCCGAACTGCCGGATGTAAACAAACCTTAATTTCCCGCGGCTTTGTTGTTGTTTTTTTTACGAGGATTAGCCCACCCGGGCATAGGTCACTGACCCACATTGGAGCCTGAGGGGCAAAAATTTAATACTCCTGTAATAATAATAATAATTCAGATAAGTAAAAAAAGAAAAAGAAAAAAAAAAGTTGCCTATCTATCTATTGGACAAACTAAAATCGTTCCGGACCACGGGAGTTTCCGGACCACAGAATGCCGGACTAGAGAGGTACAACCTGTAGTAGTATTAAAATGTTTCATGATTATAATAGGATTTATATTATTTTCAATGTAGATGCTGAAAGGACTGATGAAAGAAGTGGTGAAGATGAAGAGGGCATGCAGAGTTCTTCAGGACCAATTTTTGAACCATACTGGAGGAAGAAACTCTTCATCACTCATGTACCGAGCTTTACAAGAGATACATATTCAATAAATAAGAAAATTATATTGCAAAGATGTAATGGATATAAAGTTTGTTAATATTTTTGGTCCACAATATATATTACTGTCAAGGGAAAACGCCTAGTAAAACACAAATAAAACTGGCTGACAGCACTGATATACTACAGAGAGAGAGAGAGATTTAATTTTAGAGTCTTCACAGTTTTCACTCAGGAAAGTCGAGGAGACTTGGCGTCCCTCAATGCATGGAGAAGGCTGGGCCGCATACCCTCAGTGGATATACAGACATAATCACCCTATCAATAACATGCTAAAATAAACTTTATTGTGTTAGAGTATAAGGAATTTGAGCCATTTTAGTCAAATTTAATATTTTTTTCCTTTAATAGGCACGAAGTCTTATGTTATACGGTGATATTGTATTACCTAAGAGTTGTTGTTCCATAAGAGTGGCTATTTAATAAGGTTTCTGTAAATATAATGGGTACAAATGCATGCACTTCGAAAACTGCATTCACTTGTGGAGAGGCTATGTAGACCGGCGCGGCAGCTCTCCGTCAGCTGGACAAAACTGGTCCACATTATTATTTTTAATATTTCAGTTATAGTTTTTTCACTTGGGAAAGTTAATTAGTTTTCTGTTTTACTTGAAATAATAATCAGATCATATAAATAAAAATATTTTCTTATTATTTAAATGTTCAGCAATAAGATCATTGGCAACTTTACAGAGGGCCAGCATTGTGCATGATGCCTAGTAAATTTTATAACTACTATATTTCTAAATTACTGTAGATCACACTGAAAGCTTAATATTCTTTTGCGGTAAGTATTTTTGCACCCATTATTTAATGATTTATAAAAGATACTTTGCCAGATGCCACTGATATAATTGAATAAATTAGGTGTTTATAAAAGCTTGACAACCCTTATTTAGAGAAAGGTCATATCCTACTTGATATTTGATTTGATAACTGATATATGTGGGTGTTCTGCATGCCTCATTAGTGCAAACACGGTACACCACTGACATTTACTATTACTGTACTACATATTGTATGGTTTATCATTCTATGAATTATCATTTTTCACCAAAATATTAAGAGAAATAACAGAAATAGGGAATTTTTGCCTCTGGAATTGGGAAATTTTAGGCTACACCATCCAGCAATACTGCTTGCAGTGCCTCATGAAAAAATATTATCATTACTAAGAATAAGTGCACCCTGTTCATATTTTTTCCCCCTATGTTCATGGCTATGAAATAGAGTTCATCTGGCATTACTGTCACCTCCCAGCACTGATTTATTTTCCAATGCTATAAAAAGATCCTCTATATTAGCATTGCTTATATTCTATTGCTATAAAAACATATGTACAGTAATACCTCGGTTTACGCGGTTCTCGCGTTTGGTCATTTACGCTGTACCTTGCCAGGATGCCCGACTTACGCGGTGAGTTTCTCATTTACGCGGGTGAAGTATAATTTGTTTATTTACTGAAGATATTTGTTTTAGCTCATAAAATTCATACAAATTACCCGGCCAGAATATAATTTCCATTGCTGGAATTCTTGTAGGATTGTGATTATTTTGGATATAAACATCATGGAATTTGCATTAGACATACAAATTTTAGATCTAATGTAAGAATTTTGATTACAAAGAGCCAACATTTTATCTTTTGTGCAAAATATATGATGTTTATATTCAAAATATTCCTGGTCTTGCGGGGAATCCAGTAATGTCAATTATATTATCCTAACTTTAGTCTGAGGTATTATTTATTACTAAAAATGTAAATATACTGTTTTAACCCAAACATTTCTCTGGTAAGGAGGGAAGGTGGGGGTGGGGGGTAGGGAGGGAGGGAGGGACCCAGCAGCGTGGGAAGAGGGGAGGAGACGGAAGTGGGGTATTTTGATTGACAGATAGTGTCTGGGTGAAGTATAATTTGTATATTTACTGAAGACATTTGTTTTAGCTCATAAAATTCATACAAATTACCCAGCCAGAATATAATTTACATTGCTGGAATTCTTATAAGTTTGTGATTATTTTAAATATAAACATCATGGAATTTGCATTAGACATACAAATTTTAGATCTAATGTAAGAATTTTGATTACAGAGCCAAAATCTTATCTTTTGTGTAAAATATATGATGTTTATATTCAAAATATTCCTGGTCTTGCAAGGAATCCAGCAATGTCAATTATATTAACCTAACTTTAGTCTGAGTATTATTTATTACTAAAAATATATGCCTAATGTTTTCACCCAAACATTTCTCTGGTAGGGAGGGAAGGTGGGGGTAGGGAGGGAGGGACCCAGCGAGCGTGGGAAGAGGGGGGAGGGGGGAGTTGAGTCCATTATTTGAATGGACATTAACCTGGCGACTGTATTTCTCTTAAATATTAATTGTGTGTGCATACCATCATACAATTAAGATGTTATTTTTACTACAACGTAGGTATTGTGTCAGTATTCTGTCGGAAAAAGTGGAGTTTGGGAGTCGGCCCGGTCTCTATTTCAATTAATCCCATATGTTCTGTTATTCCATTTACGCTCGTTTTACGCGCTACTCCCACGGGTTCAATTGACCGTGTAAATCAGGGTATTACTGTACTGTACACAAGCTAAGAAATTTAATTGAGGGTAATTTAAGTTGTACAAGTATATTTTTTTGTGTTTCTTATGTATTTTGTTTGCAAGTAATGTATGGAGACAGCAAAAACTTTATTATTGTATAAATTATGAAGTGCAGTTTCTATTTTCTAACTTATTATTTGTGTATACTGTACCAGTTCTTCGAACTTGAGTGATGGGAATGCAAGTTTTGTTTGTTTTGTTTTCAGGTCCCCGTTATGCCACCGAAACCTGATGCCAGTCGTGCAGTCCTATGACGAATTAGAACTACAGTAAATCAAATTAATACCTGTGTTCTCAGAGTGATATTCCAGTCAGAAATTAATAATCCTTTGTCTCTACTGTACAAAGACCACAGTCCACCACTGATCCAACAAGTTGAATAAATCTAACACTTAACAGCACAAGTGTTATGATCAGTTAAAAAACACTTCCTTTCATCTAATTACAGCCTCTAATACATCCCTTCCTCCCTAAGAGTAACCTCCTGCTGGCAGACTGTGAGTGGCATGAGCTGACATGTAAGCTCTGACTGAAGTGACGAGGCATTTGCAGTTGCCTGGTGGTTTAAAGGATTTTGATCTAAATACAGTACTGTACATTAAAACTTCAAAAACTCTTGACTAACTGGGGGAAGGGTGTGCAATAAAAGCAATTCTCTGATAAAACAAAGTTTTTCATAATATGTGCCAACTAAATACTTTTTATATTTTATGAACAGTTACAGCATTATGATGTACACAAAAAATTCCTCAATTAAATATACTGTACAGTAAAGGCATTTAGGATGAAAGACAATGATAAAATATAAAGGCATTAAACACCAAAAACACAGGAAAATATCCATGAACATGAGAGAGGATTAAAATTATGAACTTTAAGCTTTGGAGAAGTATTGTTATCTCATTTGAAGATTTTTCAAAGAAGAAGTATCTCTTTCATTTTCACTGGAAAACTTTCTGATTTTGTCTTGACTCTTGATAATATCATAGATAACGCTTGTCTTCAGAACTTATGCCTGTTGAAACCTCTGAGCGTTTTCACTTAACTCAAAATTTGTCTTAATTCTTAACTGTACGGAAATTAGAAAATTACCACAATATTCTTATACAACATTCTACAGTATATATAGTTTTACACCTTTTACACACATTTACCAGTACTGTACTACAATACCAATTAATTTAATAACAAAAATAATATTTTTTATATAATCTACTTACATATACAGTACAGTATCACTATGGGAATAAAAAATACAGAAAACACAAAATCAAGTGTCAATATTTGGTGGAAACTGTACATAAGACAAGGAAGCATCACTACGTGCAGGCATGACCGTTGTGAGATAATGTCTCTTCTCTTCCCCACCGAGAATGCCAAACTCTGCCACCACCTCATCCAGGCCCACATTGTGCCAGCCGTCCTCATCTGCTTCACTGTTGTATTCCATTGACAGTTCATCCAATACCTGCAGAATGGGATTAACAGACTTATGCAGTGCCACTGGCCTATACATTTACAACATATTTAAAGCAATATGTACATGGTATATAGAGGATTGAAATCCCTTATATTGATAGAGCCCTGAGGAAGGGCATCTTCACAATATACCATACAGGCTACCAATAGGGGGATGCACGCACGCAAGCACACACTAGCTAAACCCCTCTGCTCCACCATCAATGCTTCCCTCAGCCAAGCAAGATGCCCAGCTGACTAGAAGACCTCATATGTGTCACCAGTGCCCAAGTCAACCAGGCCACAATCCTTAAATGAGCTACGACCCATTGCAATCACCCCAATACCCAGCTTTATCTGTGAAAGTTTCCTGTTTAACAGGGCTTATGCTGATATTGCAGGTGCCGTAGATCATCAGCAATTTGGCAATATGAAAACTTCCTCCACCACTCACTGTCTTGTCAGCTTTCTTGACTACATATACCGCCATCTGGAAAAACGAAAAACGTCTGTGGCTGTCGCCTTCAATGACTTCATCAAAGCATTTGACCAAGTCAACCACAATTTAATCACCAACAAAGTTATCGACGTCTGGTTTCGAAGAAGTCTTATACCATGGCTTACAGACTTCCTTAGTGACCGATGCCAAGCGGTATGCTTCCGAGGGGCTGTCTCCACCTTTCAGTCACTCACCTGTGGTGTCCCCCAAGGCACCAAGTTGGGACCACTCTGCTTCCGTATGCTTATCAACGATGCCCTAAGAGAATACCCTGCTCGCTGGAAATATGTCGATGACTCCACCATTGGGATCAGTGTCAACAACTCGGCTCTCAACTATACCGCCCTTCAGGATTTATTTAACAGTCTCCAAAATTGGGCCACCAACAACCATGTCACCATTAACCATACCAAGACCATGGTTATACACATCAACCTCTCCTCTGACGTTGTCCCACCCCTTTCCACTACTCTAGGCCCCAACACACTCCAGGTTGTAGACTCCACTAAGCTCCTCGGCATCACTATAGGTAACAAACTAAATTATGTCACTATAGGTAACAAACTAAATTGGAAAACACTTGTCAGTGAAGTTGTCAAATCCTTCAGTTTCAGTCTCCACCTCCTCCGCCTACTCAAGTCCCTCGGAGTTTCTGCGCCCGAGCTCCTCAGTGTTTACTCAACATTCATACTTCCCAAGCTCACCTATGCCTCCCCTACTTGGTCTTCCTCACTAAAAGCCACACAACATAAACACCTAGAAAAAGTGCAAAAGAGGGCATGCAAGATCATTCTCTTCCCTTCGTACTCCACATATCAAGTAGCGCTCAACACACTGACCCTCTCGGCTCTCTCTGACCATCACCATGACCCCATCTGCAAATTTGGTGAGAAGCTTCCGCACCATCCTCGACACCGGCTCCTACTTCCACCCGAGATCCCTCGTCCGCAAATTGCTGTTCGACACCACAACCACATCCAGGCATATGAGCACATACTGATCACTATAAGAACAGCCCAGTCCCAACCATTGTAAAAATTATCAATAACTTGTAATCAACCAGTGTATTCACTCCATATCAATATTTCCTTTTTGCACTGTCACTATGTTGAAATACCCTGTAGTATGACCTTCTACCTACCTTGTTATTATAGATCATATTTGTATCACATATCTTACTAGTATATTATTTGTCAATCAAGAGACCCATTCCCCAATTATGTACCTACTGTATATATTTTCAGCCTTCCAGCTGCCATGGCCTGTCAATAAACCGTTACTTATCATTATTACAAACACACACACATGCACGCACGCACACGCAGACACACACACACACACACCGAAGGGTCAAGACGTACCTCCTCACTGGAATATCAGCAAGTTCTCACCGGAAGTTACAATTTCAATTCGGAAAGGAATGGAAACAGCATTGAACAGTGATGAACAGTCCAGTGAAAACAACGCAGCAGTACTACTAGCAACAACTGAGCGTCGAACCCAAGTTAATCATCACACAGTGACGTTCCAGGTACCCAGTGATAACTGCCCATGAATACCCAACAACAAACAGTGATGTGTTAATCCGGCCACGATAGGGAGGCCTGGGACTGTGCACCACTTAAAGGAGTGAGGTCCTGTGACACCAGGCTACGTGGTGTCCCCATGATGCTACGACACCACGTAACGAATGAGTTGCTATAGCATCATGTGAGGGCCCTCATAACACCACATGTAAGGGAATTACTACACCATGTGAGGGCCCTCATAACACCACATGTAAGGGAATTACTACACCATGTGAGGCCCCTCATAACACATGTAAGGGAATTACTACACCATGTGAGGGCCCTCATAACACCACATGTAAGGGAATTACTACACCATGTGAGGCCCATCATAACACATGTAAGGGAATTACTACACCATGTGAGGGCCCTCATAACACCACATGTAAGGGAATTACTACACCATGTGAGGCCCCTCATAACACCACATGTAAGGGAATTACTACACCATGTGAGGGCCCTCATAACACCACATGTAAGGGAATTACTACATCATGTGAGGCCCCTCATAACACCACATGTAAGGGAATTACCACATCATGTGAAGTCCCTCATAACACCACATGTAAGGGAATTACTACATCATGTGAAGTCCCTCATAACACCACATGTAAGGGAATTACTTGTACTACACCACGTCAGGCCCCTCAAAATACCATCTGTGAGGGAGTCACTACACTACATGTTTGCTGTTCAACACCTCAGCACATGTGACTTATGTGACCGCCACTAAACAGTATTTTTTTTTTATGAGGATTAGCCCACCCGGGTACAGGTAGAACAACCCACAACGGGGCCTAGGGGGCTAAAAAATAAGAACAAAGAAATTAAAAATAGAGAAGATGCTGGAAAACCAGCTTTTTAAAGTGAGACATTGTATAGGTATGGAAACACAGAAGAAGGCAGAGCATTCCACAGTTTGGCTGTGTGAGAAAAGAAGGATGTACTATAATGGGTTATTCTAGTGTGACCGATATCCACAGAGAAACGGTGGGCACCACGGGCAAGACGTGTGTTACAAGCCCACGGCCTTGCCGGCGGTACACAGGATGCCAAATCCACCGAACATTGCCCGTTAAAGTACCTGTAAAAGAGAGAGAGAGTGAAGCAACATTGTAGCAAAGAGAAGGGGAAGAAAGATTGTCAACTAAAGTAGGAGAGTTAATAAGGCAAAATGCCTTTGATTCCACCCTATCTAGCAGTTGGACAGAAGAAGAGCCACCCCAGATATGAGAGCAGTAATCCAAGTTAGGACAAATGAATCCCTAATGTACTTGAAGCAACTGCTCAGGAGTGAAGTAGCTACGGCATCTGTACAGCATTGCCAACTTTCGGGAGGCAGTTTTAGCTCTGTTAAGGATGTATAATTTCCATGACATCTTGGAGGAAATGGTGAGGCCTAGCATATCTATTTCAAAATTTGGCAGAATGATAGCATCCTGCAATGTAATTGGTGGGAGATCATCTAATTTAGAAAGTGTAATTGGTAAATACTGAGTTTTATTACTTTTGAATTTAACCAAGTTTCTACCTCCCCATTCAGAGATGGTGCACATATCTCCATTGATAGAAGTAATGATATCAGCTCTAGAAACAGTTCTAGTTTGAGAGTTAGGAGGAAGAGGAAAATGTGAAGAAGAGTGAAGAGTGGAATCATCAGCGTAAGAATGGATAGAATTAGTTGTAGTGTGAAGTAAATCATTGATAAAAAGAAGGAAGAGAGTAGGTGAAAGAACAGAACCCTGTGGACACCACTATTGGTAGAGAAAGAGCGAGAGATAGATCCCTCGACAAAAACTGCCATGGATCGGTTCTCAAGGAAGCTAGAGATTAGAAAAGAAAGTCGGGGAGAGAAACCATAAGAGGGAGGTTTAGAAAGCAAAGACTTGTGCCATACCCTATCAAATGCTTTGGAGATGTTGAGAGCCACAATGAAAGTTTCCCCATAATCCCTAAGAGAGGATGACCAAAGATGGTTGCAATAGGAGAGCAGATCACCAGTAGATCTCGCCTGGCCAAAGCCATACTGGTGATCCGAAAAAAGAGAATGGCGTTCAAGGTGACGGAGAAAATGGGAGTTCAAGATAAATTAAAAAATCTTAGAGAGGGATGAAGTTAGGGCAATGGGGAGATAGTGAGAGGGATTAGAATGGTCACCCTTCTTCGGGATGGGCTGAAGCAAGGCATGCTTCCAAGAAGAAGGAAAAGTTTGAGTTTTGAGGCAGAGGCGAGCAAGCAAAGGGGCCAGAGCTTCAGCACACTCCCTCCGAAGAGGGGGTATTCCGTCCAGTCCATGCACCTTGCTCACATCCAACCTGGATAACACACCGGTAACCCTATGAGTGGAGAATACTGTATAGGAAGTGCATGGGTTCAGTAGGAGGAACAGGGGTAGGAGGAGGGATAGAGTAGGAATCGTCTAGGGTGGAGTTAGAGGAGAATAAGGTGCCAAAGAGATTGGCTTTGTCAGGGGGAGAGTTGGCTATAGAGTTATCAGATTGGAAGAGAGGAGGAAAAGAGGGAGTGCAGAAGTTGTTACAGATGTTTTTGGTTAAGGACCAGAAGGATTTACTGAAGGAAGAATTAGTAGGTAGTAGGCAGCTACCAAACAGGGAGGTACTACCGCCTGGGAAGATATTAGAAGCATAATGTGTTGTCTAATGGTAGACCCTGCTGCCATATGGCATCACAAAAATTGTGACCAAGTCCCAGATTGCTGATCTGACTTTCTGCCTCATTTACACACAATTGCAAAGGTCTCAATTGTTTCTCTTTCTATTGACAACACAACATACATACTGTATATCGTGTCTCATTTTTTATTTAGTTTTTCGTATTTGTATTTATTTATGGTTATTATTATTATTATTATTATTATTATTATTATTATTATTATTATTATAATTTTATAATTTGTATCTATTTTCATTGTTTTTTAGTAAT